AGGGCGTGTAACTAAGACAACAGTGGGAGTAAGGGACAGTGATGTGTGTCACTTTGGACATTAAAAATGACTGGGTGACCATTCTTTTGTTCTTCCCCTTTCCATTGGCTGGAACATGGCAAGGAGTAGAGCAGCCACTGGTCATCACAAATAGGAAGCCATTTGTTGAATGTGATACCGCTTCCTTCCATTCCTGAACTGCTGCCTATCCCCTGATTGGGATGTGGGAGGCGAAAATCTACTGTTTAAACAAGTGTGTTTTGATATCTCTTGTTACTGCACTCAAGCTAATACACAATCTGTTAGAATTTTTTTATTTCAAAAATTAGAATTTTAATCATCACAGTCTTAGTTTGTTCTTCTGCATCGGTCCAGTAGCTTTTCCCTTCCCTCTGAAGCTGGTCACTGTATCTACTCAGTCTTGCCGCCTTTACTCAGGAGAGTTGTTCAGAACTTCAGCATGCATCGGAATCACCTGGGGGGCTTTGTTAATCTAGAAAACACTGTGCTCTGTCCCAGAGTTTCTGATTCAGAAGCTCTGGGGTGGGAGCCAAGAACTTGTATGTCTAATAGTTTTCCAGATGATGCTGAAACCGTTGGTGGGGCTGCTCTTTGAGGACTGTTGGTGGGGCTGCGCTTTGAGGACCACCACTCTGGGGATTCTGTCTCACATCAGTGTGAATTCTCTGTGAGTGAGGAGCTTTGTATTTTGTTGGCCCTTCTCCGTTTTTGGTCATTCCCAGGTGCATACTTGTAGAATGATGTACATCCATAATGTCCAGTGTGCTGGCAGCATACTTGGTCACTACAGCCTGGCCCCAGTGGTTTAGGGGATGGACAAGGCTAATCCTGGGATAGAGCTAGTTTCCTGGATAAGGGGAGCTTCTGTTCATCCTGGGTATCACCAGCTCTCGGAGACTTTAATCACTGTTGCCAAGGTACAAATACTTGTTGTTCTCGCCTAAATTGTTTTACAGGAGCCTGTCCCTTTTACTAATCTTTTCAAATAAACAACTTCTAGTCTTGCTGATTTTTTCTATTGTCTTTCTGTTTTCTGCTTCTTTTATTTCTGCTTGAATCATTATTTCTTTTCTTCTGGTGACTGTAGGCTTTCCTTGCTGCTCTTTTTCTGATTGTTGGAGATGCTGTGTTAAGTGTGAATTTGGCTCTTCTTTTTTGATGTGTGCATTTATTGCTATAAATTGCCCTCTAATCACTGCTTTTGCTGTGTCTAAAGATTTTGGTACGTTGTGTTTTCATTGATTGAAGGAATTTTTTAATTTCATTTTTTATTTCTTCTATTACACAGTCATTAAGGAGGGTGTCACTCAGTTTCCATGTATTTGCTCTTTTTCTGTTGATCTTCATATTGTTGATTTCTAATTTTGTAGTGTTGTGATCTGAGATGATGCTTTGCAGTATTTCAACGTTTTTAACTTTATTGAAGCTTGCTTTGTGGCCTTAACATATAGTTTATACTGGAGAATGTTCCATATGCACTGGAAAAGAGTGTATTTTGTGCTCTTGTTGGGTGAAGTGCTCTGTAGATG